ACAACCTATTACGAAGCTCACAAGATTGTTGATACGCTGGGGCTTGATTACAAGAAGATAGACGCATGTCCTAATGACTGCATTCTGTACAATAAGGGTAATGAAGCTCTGGAGAATTATCTGACGTTTCATGTATCGCACTGGAAAGAACATACAGGCACATCCAAAGGCGGTGCATGCAATAAGCAGAGCAGAATCCCTGTTAAGCTTCTGTGATATTTTCTAATTATTCCTAGGCTACAGAGGTTTTTTATGTCTGCCAAGCTGGCTGAGAATAAGCGATGGCATTCGAACGAACACAAAGAGGACGGGAAACTGAGACATCCTACTAATGGTGAGGCATGGATGCACATCAATCGTATATACCCTAACTTTGGTAAGGAGTCTCGGAATATTAAGCTGGGGCTTGCTAGCGACGGATTTAATCCATTTGGATTAATGAGCTCCGCTTGGTCTACCTAGCCAATGTTGTTGACACCGTACAACCTACCACTGTCGATGTGCATGAAGCAGCAGTACATGATACTGTCAATCCTGATCCCTAGAAGATATTCTCCTAGGACTGACATTGATGTTTTCCTCCAACCATTAATTGACGACCTGAAGCTTCTTTGGGAAGAAGGTATCACCACTTATGATGCTTATGATAAGGAGTCTTTCTGTATGAGGGCAATGGTCATGTGGACAATTAATGACTTCTTGGCATACGCTAACCTGTCTAGATTGTCGATGAAGGGTTAGATTGCTTGTCCGGTTTGCATGTCAGACTTTGAGGGAAAGTTCCTAAAATACAGCCATAAGTTCTATTATTGGCAACACAGAAGATGGTTTCCTACATGGCATAAGTTCAGAAAGTTAGTAGGAAAGTTCGACGGCAATCCAGAAAATAGACTAGCACCACGTTGACTGGGGAAGAAATATTTAAGCTTCTACATCCTGTACCTAGAAAAATATTTGGAAAGAAAAGATTCAACAAAGAAAATCCAGTTGGGGTTAGGAGAAAAATATTGAAGCAAAATTGGAAGGGAAAGGGGAAGGATAAGCTATTTCTCAAAGGCAATTCGAATGGAAATAAGCGTCGCAATGTCCAGTCGCATGGATGTGTCTATAAGGGCACTTAACATCCGTATGGATGGTTAAAATTCAGCATATTTTATCAGTTGCCAAATTGGAGAAGTTTAAAAATATGTCAAAACTTGGATGTCATGCACATCAAGAAGAACATATGCGAGAATCTCTTGAACACTTTGTTGCAGGGCGGAAAAAAATCGAAAGATGACTTAAGGGCATGTCGAGACCTAGCAGAATTGAACATCTGACCTGAACTGCAAGCTATAGATAAGGGTGACGAAAAGTTTGAACTCCCAGCCTCCCGTGTCACACTGTCGAAGGATGTGGTCCACAATATGTGTTTATTTCTAAAGTTCATGAAGATACCAGATGGTTATGCTTCAAACATTTCAGCAGATGTGCATATTACTGACAAAAAAATTTTGGGACTCAAGACACATAACCAGCATATTCTATTACATCAACTTCTCCCAGTTGCATTATGACATGCTGAGAAGGAACTCGCGATGGTGGTAATAGAATTCTGTGGTTTTTTCAAGCAGTTATGCTCCAAGGTGATTGATGTCAGAGAGTTTGAAGAGTTAGAGGGACGTGTAGTCAATACACTGTGTAAAATAGAAATTCTATTTCTACCATCGTTCTTTACGGTCATGGTGCATCTCACAATACATTTATCATATGAAGCCCGCATCACAGGACCAGTTTAATATCACTGGATTTACACTGTAGAGAGGTATTTATTATTATAATATTCAATTAATATTTGTCAAATTCCGTTACTCAGTTTTATTTTATCACAAATCATGAAACTATATGCTTGTAGGTATTTGGGTTTCATAAAACAACTGACGCATAACCGTGCACGTCCTGAAGGGTTGATCGTAGAGAACTACATAAGTAACGAGAGTTTGAATTTCATCTCTCGTTACTTACAGGGTGTGGAGAAAAGGCTCAACCATCCACAACAAATAATTGACGGAACATTCTATAATGATCGTGGGGAGGACACTAGATTCCCCGGAAAGGAGCTAGATCATGCCCACACATATATCCTGAGCAATGATACTACATTTAACATATACACGGCGTAAGTATTTAGCCGTTTGAATCAGATCATATCACATCACATCACAATAATTATCTCTATTTAACTGTATAAATGATTTTATTCTAGGCTTCACATCCGATATGTCCAGAGTACTCTTAAATGCAGAACAAATAATAAGAGAGTTATGGACACACACTCTAGACAATTCCCTGCATGGCTGAAGGGTGAAGTAAGATCTTTTTACATACTGATTCGTATATCAAATATATGTGCCTACCACCAGATATGTAAACTATTTGTTTCTTTTCTTAAAGGTTGACAAATGGATTACAAATGTGGTTAACCTGTCTAAGAAAGTTTGTTTATATGCAAGAAGTCCTTCTAATGTGGTTAAGCATTATGGAGGCTACTGTGTCAACGACTTTAGGTTTAACACCGTCGGTCTCAAAGAGAGATGAAAAATGCAAAACAGCGGTGTGTTCTGCTCCTTCTCGCAACTGTCATACGCTAGTTCAAAAGATCTAAATCCGGTACAAGGGGAAATCTATTGCTACGGTCAGGTAGAAGACATCATGGAGATTTTCTATATGATTAATAAGGAAGTCAGTCATGTGATGTTTAAGGTTCGTTTGTGTGAGCAGAAAAAGATGAAGGATGACTATGGTTACACACTCAATAATCTTAACAATGAAATATATAAAACTGAAAAATACATGTTAGCTACTCACGCCAAATAGTGCTTTTATGTCAAAGATATAATGAAAAATAATGATTGGGTTATCCTTAAGAATCTGCCTAGAGCCTATATTCTTGAAGCCGTGTCTGACGAAGATCACGATGAGGAGGTTATCTTAGTCGACGAAACAGTTACTGAGTTTTCCTTAACACAAATTAATAATTTGGCCGACAAAACAGTTGCACTAGCACGCCCTGATATACCTGCGATTATATGTGAGCTAAGGCGTAAAGGTAAAAAAACCAGTCCGCAACGGAGTCAATAAAACTATACGAACAGTCCTTTTGCCGGCACACACACGGTCGCAAGCTATCCACACACGATCGCAGAGTAGAGCCTCAACATCATCATAATACTGTAATACTAGGTTATGAATTAAAAGGAACATTCATTGTATTATATTATTGCCTTTATATTATCTGTTTGACTGGTTATCATGTATCACAGTGTGACATGTATTATATTATTACCTTTATATTATCTGTTTGACTGGTTATCATGTATCATTGTGTGTCATGTATTATAGTATTACCTTTATATTATCTGTTTTACTGGACATCATGTACACGTGATTCTATTGCCATGTGCTATTTTATTAATTATTTGAATTATATGCTTTTATTGGATATTCATTATGTTTTCAAAGTATAGATGACAAAAGGATTACGTAAGAAAGCACTTGTGAGACTTTTTAGTAGATATTCTGGAGGCGACGCACATGCCTCTACGTCAGGTATTTTTATTTATTTGTTATATATGTACATTTCTATAAACTATTAATGTGAGCCTAACATTTTTTTAATATTTACTACACAGGATGCAGAGATGCTACACATGACTCGTAGCCACAGGACACATCACGCGAAGATGCTCCACATGACGTGGAGACACAGGCTGGTCCTACACAGCATGTAGAAATACCGTCACCACCGCATGCAGATGTATTGGTGGAGAGGAGATTTGAGCCGTATAGCATAGTTGTAGAAGCTGCAGCACTACCGCCAGATTTTATTACGGATCAGCGAATCCACTGTCCGCCCAAGGTGAATGGGGATTAGGATTCTTATCATGCTTTGTGCCCTATCACGCAGCATACAATTCTATTCAGACTGTACAAGGAGGTATAGAGATTTGTAAGAAGTATTCCGATTGATTTACATGAAGTATAGAATGCAGATTATGTCTCTGTGCTTGATGTATTAGCTTGTGAATGTTGAGCATTATAAGAATGTAGACCTTGTTTAACCTTTTTATATTTTTATGGCAATGAGAGTAGAAAATCATGCATCTTTTCTGAATGGGTTTAGGAGTCCGAATAGTAATGATCATATATATTAAAGAGATGTGAGTTATGTTGAATACTAGTGACTATAATATCTAATAGAGAATTTAGGTTTCATTCCAAATGTGGGAAAACGTGAACAACACTTCAGAACAAAATTCAATTTGAGTTGTTATACTTGAAAACAGAAGAATAGTTGGAGAAGACTATATAAAGTGTGGGAGCATATCCTTTGTGATTACTGTTGGAACTTGAAAGGTAGATGGATAGCATATTTATCCTTGCTATAGTTTTTCTATAACAATAGTCACTAATCTGGTACTTATATGTTTGCTTAATAAAAAATTTACTGGTGGAATATGTAAACATCTATTTACTAGTAACAAGTGAAAGAAAGAATGTTGTTCAATTATGAAATTGGGCATTGAATGTTTTAGTATTGTAGTGTATTGCTGAACCTAATGATATCTTGGACTATGATGAGTCTCTTCGGATGATAGAAAGTTCTACATATACAAAATAGTTTTTTTTTAATTTGAACTAAGAGGATTAAATATTGTGGTTCAAGTAAAGATTTTATGGAAAATTTATTGTTACCTATATGGGAGCATGAAACTACGATCGAGGAAAAAAATCGCAGTCGTTCGAGTACTTGAGAATAATCAAGTTTTGAGGACAAATTTTCTGTTAAGAGGCATAGCATGTAATAGTTATAGGTTTTATTGTTATATATATATTAAAGAAAAAGTAAAAAGGAATTTTATGTAAAAAGTTGTTGGAGGGTTATAATAGCAAAAAGGCCTTTATAAATATACATAACCCTACCTTTTCTCGTCAGTCTCTTTTTCTCCTCCCGTCTGTGTTCTGCCGCACCAAAAAAGTGATTAAAAAAAGTGAAAAATCGAAGAAGAAGAAAAGAAGCATCGAAGTGGAAGGGGACGTTGGAGTTAAGAAGAAGGCTGAGAAGATTTCTTCCCTCTTATTGGAGTAAGTATATTTTTGGTAATTTAATCTATTATCAATTATTAGTAGTTTTTATTGAAAAATAATAATAATTAAGAAGAATACTATTGTGATAGATGCTAGATGAGATGGATTACAGTTCAAATTAGGATTTCGTACTAGTCTAATGTATGAGTGATATGAAGACTCATTACAGGTATTAGTTATATAAATTTTTGGGGAATTATTTACAACAATGACGGAAGAAATCCAATATGAAATAATTAGTAGTCTCTATATCCTTACCACAAGACTTTTGTAGTGATATAACCACATTAGTGTTAATTTTATAATGATGGAAAATCGTGGATGGTTAGTTTTATCTTTAGAAAATAGAATATGTATGCATATAGACTATTAAGATAACTGAGAATGCATTACTTGATCTGGAGTCTGGTATTTACATTATTATTTGTTTTTATTCTTTAGGGAATCCTAGAGGCTCCTCAAATGCATCGTGAGACTTGAACTTTGGATTATTAGTTCGTATTTTTGTAAGTGGTAAATTTATGCATTATGCGCTGCTATGTGGATTTATTTCCTGATGGATTATATTCTTCGTATGATTTTCTGGTATATCATTTATTGACTAGTTTCATTTTTTGATGCTTATGGATATTTGGTATAAGCTTATGCTTATTTTCTTTGTCAATTGTTATGTCTTTTCATAAAGTACTAGAATGAGATGCATATGTAGTTGATTGATTTCACTATTGGTTGGCCTTTGGCATTTTTGGTATAACATACTTGGTTATATGAACTTTGTTCATTTTTCTTTTTAAACATAGGCATCTCAAGTCAATATACTGGTATATATCGGATATAAGCAAGTTATTAAAACATGGCTCAATGTGCCTCTATGAGTTTTCTATTTTAGCGCTAAGAGCCCAAGTTTGGGTCTCATCATCCCTACCACAGGCTTTATAATAGTGGGGTTTGCCAAGTCAACCGGAGTATCGAAGTGTTGACCGTATTAAGACGTGACCTGCTTATTTCCATTGCATTTTTACATTTTAAAATGTCGCATTATAACTTTTACTATTTTAGTACTTTGCGTATAAAGTCAATTTATTTTTAGTTTTACAAAACCAGTGTTTAATGTATAAAGTTATGCACTTATTGAGTTGTGAACTCATTTTGTTATATTCATTCTTTTCAGAGACTTGGGATTAAGTGGAGTTGGTGGTTCATGAGTTCTTAAAAGGGAGCAGAGAATAAAATTTGAGATTGTTATTGTTTTCTAGATGAAGGTTGATAAGTCTCTAATGTTTAGTTGATATTGGAAGCTTTGTAATAATAAAATATTTTCCTTTAGGTTGAGTTTTATATCAAGTTAAGGAATATTCGTTATTATCAAGTTAATTGGATTAATGTTAACTTTTGGGATTATAAAGAATATTTATTGTTGGTTTTAGTTCAATGAAGAGATTATTTTGATGGACTTTTAATGAATGCATATTTTTGAAGGATTTTTCATAGGTTTAGTCATGCTCCAATATTCCTTTTAGGTTCGGAATTTAGGGTCGTGACACTAGAACCCTCTTGGGAATTAGTTTTTATTTTCTTCCTTTTATGCTCTCTAGTATAGATTTTATTTCTTTGTTTTTATTTTCTAAGATGTAGAGCTAATTCTTATACGAATTCTGGAATTGCAAGAAACTAGCTTGATTTCTTTTATAATTTTTGAGTTATTCTCTTGTGCTCAAAATAATCATGTTTAGGATAATCAACTGGAGAACTAATTAGTAGAAAAATAATTTAATAATATATGCTTATCTTGAGTGGTTTGATAGGTTATGCTTATGAATTCTAGAATTGCTATCTAGTCGTTGTTATTTTCATGAATGTTAAATAAATTTGGATGATAATTTGATAGGTTATGCTTTCCTTGAGTGGTTTGATAATCTAGCTTAATAAATCTAAAGTAAAATGTGATAAAAAGAGAATAGTTTATAATCTATAAATAAAATTGGCTAGTGGATATAATTCTAGATTACTCATATCTCTAATTGAATCTTCCATCTTTTACTTTCTTGATTTTCCTATTTATTCTTGATTTTTCTCTTATTTTTTTTATTTTTCTTTTTTTCTTCATCTTTCTTTTTTTTTTACTCTCAATCATGTTTTGTTTTAATTTACATATAGTCACATCCACTCTCCTTATCTCTCCACAACCACATTCTTTCATCACTCCTAAATTATCACACACACAAATTAAGAATCAATTTTGATTAAATGTTTTGTCACCTTCATTATGGGATTCAATAATCTTTTATACTATAACTTGATAATTGTGCACTTGCAACTTTGGATTCTATTTATTACCCCATTAATTTTTTAGCGCTGTTGTTGAGAAAGATGCTTGTAGTTAGAACTTCTCTATTTTGATTCTTTAATTTGTGTGTGTTCTATTGAAGGAACCACATTGAAGACTGATAATCAAGGATTAAAGATTGAAGATTTACTTTTTTTAACTCTTCTTTCTAGTATTTTAAATTCCACCCTTTTAGCTAGTTTCTCATAATTAAAGATAATTAATATCTAAAAAATTTTGCTTTTGTCAACCCTAATAAAATTCACCCTCTACTTGAACATTTACTAACAATTTAATAATCTCAAACAAGAGCTCACCTTTCTCACATTTATTTGATTGTTAATATTAATTGAAAAAGCAAAAAGATTTTATTTTTAGCATCCTTTTGTAGTTACATTTAATTCCTAGGGTTGCATTGCGTATAGTTAGTAGGAATCTGTTAGTGTCTAATGCAATTTAAGTTTACTTGAATCTGTTAGTGTCTAATGCAGGGTTTAGGAGTTGCGTAAAGTGCTCTGCAAGAGGCGATGTATTTAATTGAAATTTGATCTTCCTCTACTATTCTTACAAAAATTGCCCTAGAGTAGGGGTGAATAGGGTATATGATAATCTAATTCGATATTAATGCTAAAATAAAACTTATTAATAATTATATCCTAGCCAGTATGATATTTAACAATTATATCCTAGCAAGTTTTGAAACTTCTTTTGAAAGGATTAATAGACTTTGGAAAAGATGTAAAATGATATAAATTAGTCTTTAAATCTGTAAAAACATATTGTGCAAATAAACATGATTTCATTGATTTAAAATTGTTAATGCTTGATTTTGATGAAATCATTTCAAGCACATACAAACATGAAACAAATATGTGTGTATATATAATTATATCCATTTGTTTTATATTTATGTGGCTAAACTTGAAAGAAATAAAAACAATGTGTGGGTATAATTTTAGCTCTAAGTATTGTTCACGGGAAAAATCGTAGCTTTCTTTGCTGATTCCATTGATTACTTTGTTAACAGTTTATCGGTTACAAAGATCCGGTCTTTTTATAAGATCCGGTCACAATAAAATCAAAAGAAAATGAAAATTATAACTTTCATTATTTGTCGAACGAATCACGAGCTCCTGTTTTACGGTCACTCGCTTTTGTGGGTTCTTTGCCTGCGCCGGGGTTAATCCGTGGACCACCACGCGATCTAGATCCGGTCAAATCTACACGGTATAGCGGGTGTTATCTCACGAAGGAAATAACAACCGAGGGTACTATTTCACCAAGGAAATAATAGCCTTCTCGGGATCAAAAACCAAGTTTTGATCCGGAGGGTGACCGTGCAGATCTCAGATCCAATCTCTCTCGAACTCCTGCCTTGTTTGACATGGATGCTCGCCAAGAACCGGATCTGAAAATACAAGTCTTCAAAGCTTCAAAAACTCCAAAGTCGAGATCTCAATTCAGCAGAGCTTCGCCTCCAAAAGTTCCAACCTTTCACAAATGAGCCCCCCTAGCCTATTTATAGGCACTCAGGACTGTGCCTTAGCACAGGTGGCCGGCCACCTTGGTCGCTCGGCCACCGAGCCACCCATGGGTGGCTCATCCGCCTTGGTGTTTGAGTTCGAATCCGTTCTATGGTTGGATGACTCGTTGATTCCCCGAACCGTTGGCTTGATTCCGCACGATAATGGATGCATTTCGTTGCTTGCGTGCGATTCGTTAACCTCGTCGCCTCGTTAATCCGCTTCGTTGCGTGTCACTTGGCTTCGGTGTTGTGGACTGACGCTCATGTTTAGATACGTCACCCGATGGTTCGTTGGTTTGTCGAATCATCGTGTCGAGCTGTGTTCAGGGACATATAGGCAGTTTTATATGCCTACAGATACCCCCTCCAAAGTATTTCAGTCTCGTTCTTTTATAGAAGAGTCTGGAATACTTTGGATATGATTGTCCCAACCTTCAGTCGGTGTAACGGGACCTTGGAATGGCTTCTGTTTTTTGATTCCTTCAATCCTTCAGGTTATTCGGTGCTTTATTGAATGTCTGTAAGGGTTCCGGTGCTGCATTTATTGTCTGACCGTTATCGGAATTCTGAACTTGAAGTCGATTCCTGATTTTCTGATCTTTAGCCCGTGCTTGTTGGTTCAACATAGAACTGAACATCGATTGTTGGCGTTGAGTTCTCATTTGCGACGCGTTGTCCGGCGAAGTGTTGTTGAGTTATCCTTAAGAATATTTTTAGCAAAATATTCTCCAGAAACTTCTCAACCAAAAATAGGAAATAGTTTATACTCGTATACCTTATTGGAGTAGTGTTCGTGTCCGAACGAACTGAACCGCCCTGGTTCAAGACTGGTTCAAGACTGGTTCAGGACTGGTTTAGCCTGGTTCAGCCTGGTTCGGGCTAGTTCAGGACTGGTTCAGGACTAGTTCGGTCTGGTTCAGCCTCCTTTGAACTGATTTAGCCTGGTCTGGTTTGGTGTCATTAAGTTGACTTAGAACCAACTATCTTCGTCACATCGTGCTGACTCAGGGTTTCAGATCACTGTTCATTGACTTTTGGTCGCAACGCGTTGACTGGCGTTGACCTAGGGGTACGCGTTGACTGGCGTTGACCTAGGGTTTCGAACGTCGTACGTTGACTTTTTTATCGCAACGCGTTGACTAGCGTTGACCTAGGGTTACGTGTTGACCGGCGTTGACCTAGGGTTTCGGATCATTTGACATTTGTTGGAGTATACACAGTTTAAGCTCTTGAGGTATTAGAGCATGGCGGTCCTAAATGTCGGAGTTGCAGGACCAACTATGAAAGTTGATTCATCTGCATGTATGGATCTTATCCTGAAATTGTTGGATGCTCAAGTCACGAGACCAACTAATGAAGATGATGCGTCAATGACTTGCATTTATAAAATTTTTGGAAAATCCTCAGCCATCAACGGGTTTGATAAGCCTTTACCGACTACCGTTTGAGTCGGGCTAGCATGCAGATTGTCTAAATCCGTTCCGCATGTAACGTTGTGCTAAGAGAGTGAATTCTCTGAGACTTTGTGCTATGATGTTGAATACATAGGCTTTACTATTTGTTACGGGAATAGGCTACCCGGCGACACGTGTTAGGTGTTGACTTTAGGATTTTTGGGAAAACCCCAGCCTTCAACGGGTTTGATTAGCCTTTACCGACTACCGTTTGAGTCGGGCTAGCATGCGGATTGTCTAAATCCGTTCCGCATGTAACATTGTGCTAAGAGAGTGAATTCTCTTAGACTCGGCGCTACGACTTCGAATACGTAGACTTCACCCTTGTTACGGGAATAGGCTACCCAGCAACGTGTATTAGACGCTGACTTATCCCTACTTAGGCTTTGGGATAAAATACCCCAGAATCGAACTCTGGTGTCTTTTTCTACGGAGAAAGACTAAACCGGCGACGCGTGTTAGGCGTCGGCATATCATTTCTTAGGATTCAGGATGAAATTCCCCATGCGTGTAAGGCATGGATTCTGGTGTTATTAATAACAACCTGTCACAATATTGAATATGTGAACGGGTGTTCTTTTTAACGGTTAAGAACTAACCGGCAGCGCGGGTTAAGCGCAGACTTATCCTTGCTTCGGTTTTAGGATAGAATACCCCAGAATCGAACTCTGGTGTCTTTTTCTATGGAAAAAGACTAAACCGGTGACACGTGTTAGGCGTCGGCATATCCTTTCTTAGGATTCAGGATGAAATTCCTCATGCGTGTAAGGCATGGATTTTGATGTTATTAATAACAACCTACCACAATGTTGAATATGTGAACGGGTGTTCTTTTTAACGGTTAAGAACTAACCGGCAGCGCGGGTTAAGCGCAGACTTATCCTTGCTTAGGTTTCAGGATAGAATACCCCAGAATCGAACTCTGGTGTCTTTTTCTACGGAAAAAGACTAAACCGACAACGCGTGTTAGGCGCAGACTTATCCCTGCTTAGGATTCGGGATAAACTTCCTAGGATTAATCCTAAATTGACAAATTCTTGGAAAAGGTTAACGTGGGAAAGGAAGAATTTTATATTCTATTTCC